AATACATAGATTTTCGAAAATATATGTACAGTTTGGTCCGCACCAATTTGTGATCAGTGCCACACTCAACTCCACGCAGTACACGTGTCATGCGCACTTCACGCATGTCACGCTGACGTACGATGACATAGTCGAGCAAGTGAACGTGACCACTCCGTGGGTGCATCTGAGTTGCCATACCACTCGCACTCAGTGCAAACTGAGTGTTCGTGATCATCGGGCCGTGAGTGGCAAACAGTGAGAGCAGACTGTCACCGTTCACATTCGCTGAACCAATGCCATGCGGACCGATGACATCTGTCCACACTGATGCACCATACCCAACGCGCTCGTTGTAATCACCCAGCAGAAATAGTCGGTTGCTCCTCGGCACAGACCGTATCACGGAGGATAGCTGAGTGTAGAAATGATCACGCGTGTCAGCAGGATAACACATAGCCGGACCGTACGTGCTTATAAAGGTGGCAACCTTACCTCTTCGGAGTCGTAGACGAGCAGTCATCAGCCGCCCGCTGATGCCTGTTGGTTCACCAACGATCTGACCATGGAGGCGATCGGATATTGCAAATCCGACCCGATGACCACTTGGTGCTGAGTCGGCGTTGCCCACCCAGTAGAATGTGTAGCCAGCACCAGTTTCATGCAACTTACTTTGCTCAGCGAGCCGGGTTTCACTGAGCGCCGCAATATCGATGTTGTAGCGCGCCAGTTCCATCGCGACGAGTGCAGTGCGTCGCTCGGGGCGCTCACTCGAGTTCCGGTCCAATAGTGTGCGCATTTTCTAGCACCCGATGTTGAGTGCTTTGCGCGCAGGCATATGATTGCATTGGTGGGCAATCGCACGCGAGGTGGTCGTTGTGCTTCAGAGGTTTGCTTGAGGGACTCCACCCGGAGCCTTTGGCTCAATAGCCTGACCCACAAGGCAGTGGGGAGCAGATCCAGCTCGGGAATGTGATTGCAGAGACAGATTTGGATCTGTCACATGCAGCCTTTGAGGTACTGAAACGATTCATATGCTTTGCGACCGTAGTAGGATACACCTGCGACCACGGCCAGACGCAGGTGGGTTTTGGTGGGTTTGCACCAATTTGACCAGAGGCTGCCTGGTTTGAGGCGGGCAATAACAAACCATTGAACACCCAGAGGTGCCCTCCCACCGTCAGAGACAATGCGCGGCACTCGTGCTCTACGCCAATTAAGCTGTGAGCTTATAACCCGTAGACCTGTTGTCTCCCATGGCTAGGTTTTACGGGAAGAGGTCCATCGACCACTTCCTAACCTCCGAAGAGGATGTACTAGGATGCTGGTAGGGCGCCCACACCTGACAGGAGAACGGCTCGGGTCCTCAGCCAAAGCCTTCGATTAAATGTACGCCCGAAAGGCAGCAGGTCTAGCACATGGTCAGTTCACTGACTCATGCGGATTGGTGTCCTGGATCTTAGCAGGGAGAAGGGCGTTACCCAATCCACCCAGTGGTCGCCACGAGGAGGCGTCCAAGACATGAGCCCATGGCACAACAGTAGCAGCAGTGGGTAGACCATCTGTCAGGATCTAGCCACCACCAGCCTCAGGGCACCATAGGCTCTCCCGCCTATATATATAAATATATATATATGTATATATATATGTATATATATATATGTATATATATATATATATATATATATATATATATATATACAGTGGATTCCGGTTAATAGGACCACCGGTTAATAGGACCAGCCGCTTATTCGGGCCAAATTCTGAAGAACCGAAACGAATCCTATTACGCTAGCCTAATTTTTGCCGCTTATTAGGACCGGAATTCCGCTTAATCGGACCAGACGATAGATGGTGGCAGGTAACAGAGGTGTTAAAATCAAGTTCTGTGCCTGGATGTCTGGACTAAACCCACAGTTCATATGTCGGACAGGAAAGCGTATCATTCAGTTACAGTAATCCGAGTTGGCCTTTGGATAAACTGAACTGTGGCAACCTTGATGCACATCTATCTAATTGGCTTCAGAACCGCCCGAAACTGACTGTAGTTTCCAACACTTGTAGGCGGAGCGAAGCCATCCATGCTTGTTCACATGTCGTTAACCGCTAGATCGATGTACCGCACGTCCATTGAGCCAAATGCCCTGAGCCCGCATTGCGGGCCTACTCTCCAGCACGGCAAGTGATCGCGGACACACAGGTCCGGCAAATCATAGGACAGCAGGTGGCTAGGTCAACCATAGAAATACCCGGGAGACAGACTCTAGTTCACCTCAGTGAACTGTGCGTGTCTTGTTGTATGTTAGGAAAATGCCACGACGGGACTTGATGTTAGCTGAGAAGATTCGTTTCCTAGATGAGATCAAGGAACAGGGACCAACCACTAGTCAGCGTCGATTGGTGGAAATTACCTGCTTGGCAAAATCTACAATATCGCGCCTGATAAAACAAGAGAAAGATCTGCGAGAAGAATGGGCACAATGTGAAGGACGACGAGGTACTTCCCAAAAACGGAAGCGTGTAGGCAAGTATCCAGACGTCGATGAGGCCTTTAATGATTGGTTTGCCTTTGTTACTGGACGAGCCGTCCCAGTAAGTGGCCCAAAGTACAAAGCAGAAGAACTCGCTAAAATGCTTGGCGACGAAGATTTTATAGCTACGGACGGCTGGTTGTCTGGTTGGAAATCTAGACATGATGTAAAATTTAAGAAAGCACATGGTGCGAAAGAAAGTGCCAATAGCGCTCGAGCTGAAGAATGGAAATCAACAAAACTACCAGAGCTTCTTGAAAAATTTCCAGCAGATGACATCTATAATGCTGGTGAAACCGGGTTGTACTATAGGGCTACACCGGACGGCTCCTTAAGTTACAAACATGTCACTCTCTCTGGCTGCAAAAAAGCAATGGATCGCGTAACTGTCTTGTGCTGCTCAAACATGTCCGGAACAGATAAGTGGAAGGTGCTGGTTATAGGAAAATGTGCCAAGCCTCGCTGCTTTAAGGGACTCAGAATGGACAGTTTACCAGTTGTGTATCGTGCGAACAGAAATGAATGGATGAGCTCTACACTTTTTAAAGAATGGGTGAAGGATTGGGACACAGAGCTACAACGCCAGTCGAGAAAAGTGTTATTACTTCTCGACAATTGTGCAGCACATTCAAATTTGGATTTCTTGAGGAATATCCAGATGGAATTTCTGCCTCCCAAAACCACATCTTTGATACAGGCAATGGACATGGGTATCATAAAAAATTTGAAGACCTTTTATCGTTCAAGGTTGGTGAATTACATCCTTGAATCAATTGAGGAAGGCTTGCTGACTTCATCCTCGACGGCCGGAGAAATCAGTGCGAAGGTCAACATTTTGCAAGCCGTTACATTCGTGGCCGAAAGTTGGCGAAAAATGAGCAGTGCAACAATTCGGAACTGTTTTTCTCACTGTGACTTTAAGCATATTGTCTCGGAGATGGATGTGGATATGGTGATTGTAAATGAAAATGACGGCGAGAATGTGGAGCTGAAACAAGTTGAAAATTACAAAGAATTTTTGTCAGTCGACAACGAACTTCAACTCTATGATAGAAATGAAGAATGTGATGCTGCCATTGTTGCTCGAATAGCAGCGAAACACACGACAGCAACAGAAGACCATGGAAGTGATGAAGAAAACCCTAAGTTGTTGATGCCAGTCACAAAACAGGATGCAAGGAAATGCATTGAAACATTGCACCGCTATTTCATGCAGGAAGGAAATGAATGTAGTCCTATTACTGCGTTGCATGTTTGTGGTGATTTTGTGCGAATGCAGTCTGTTAAAAGAATGCGTCAAACCACATTGGATACGGTCTTCAAACGCTGAATGGAATTCGGTAATCCCTTTGTATAAAACTGTACTTCGCATTCTGAATATCTTGTAGGTCGTTACGAAGAATTTGTTTGTAAATTTCTTTTTCAGTGAACAAAGTTCGTTATCGAAGCAGTTCATTTTTGTGTGTTTGCTGTAAATATATGCCGCCAATACAGGTCATAATAGTAGTTTCCTATGTTATGTATAGCACGTCCCATCTTGTTACATCGGGTAACTTCGGTTAATCGGACCAGCCGCTTAATAGGACCAAAATGGTCTGGTCCCGATGTGGTCCGATTAACCGGAATCGACTGTCTATATATATATATATATATATATATATATATATATATATATATATATATGTGGGGAAACAGCCATATAGCTTTAGCAGTGTCCATCCTTTCATATTCGGGCTTTGGCGAGCCAGTAGACTGGCCGCTTCCCGCCAAGTGGACGCTACGGTTATCCACAGTAACGCGTGCACACCGCTTACCTTTTGCACCGTGAGCAGCAATTCTACAGGCAGGCGGAACGACACCGCTTTTTTCTATATCCCACTCACCCACAAGGTACGTGTAACCGGAGACAGCCAATCAGTGTGCACTTTCGACTTGGTTAGAATGGCTGGTCGACTGGGTTATAGGGATATACTAAAACTGTTTACGATTACATTCCTTCTAGAAGGTGTTCTCTAACCTCTTTTTCAAGAATGCTGCGATTGCACCGAACGCCGTCGTAAGTTTTACTTTGCTGTATCTGTTTTGTGCCATCATATTTAGTATGGTGATACAGAATCTATAGAGTGAACAGAATATCTGACAGATTCGAGCATCGATCATCGGTTTGATTTATCAAAAATAAATTACATGAGTTGTGAACGCCTTCTGACCCATAGCGAAGATTGTTGACTCAAATGTCGCTTTCAAAAGAAATTCTCTGGAAACTCCTTGATTACAGGAAATCCCTTAGTGTCACTTCTTGCCCGTGGTCACTTGCTGGTTTGCATTCTTTTTTATGCCATGGTTATCACTATTGTGAGGGAAATCGGGTCCATGCGACACAGTTGGCGCTTATCATCCACACACAATTTCCCGTTAATTGTTGTTGCACTTCCCCATGATATCCTTCTCATCGTTCATGCACATTCCTTTTTCCATGTGCAACAACAGAGTCTACTGAAAGACGATACTATCTACGTTCCGGTATCGGACATTGACGATCCCGACTTGGCTGTGGTACGATTAACGTTTTCCGGTTCTACTGTTTTGTGTTAGCCCGTTTCTTTGTTCCATACTTCTTCGTTCATTTTGTTCAGGGTAGCTTATTTTACCTCCGAGAATGTTTTCTAGCTTTTGGACTACTTGTGGTGTCAGCCACTCTTCGAGTCTAACGTTGAAGCTGCATAACCTTACGCTTGGACTGTTGTCGATGTGTGGTGTTCACATCTTTGGTAACCTTGGTAAATATGCAGTGGTCACACGTTTGTTACAGCACCCTCAATGATTCAGCTTAACCCCAATTCGCGTACTCAACTGTGGAGCCTACCTGCGCTTGTACAAGTCGAATCATCTGCCCTCAAACTTTCAGTTCCTTGATCGAATTGAAAACAGTGAACTCAGGACTCGATATTTTGTTTCGGCTGCGCATAACTCTTCTACCACCTAATCCTCGACGCTAACTGTCTACTTAGAGAGGAGGAGCACTATCACTGTGCACTGCACATCGTTAGTATACTCGGTCGACAGGCGGTTCACACAGTTTCGTATTACGAACGATTCCTGGTGTGCCCTGCGTCATCTTCGATGGTCAAACTCTTACTGATGTCTCATTATAAGCAACGGCACTCTCTTTGAGATCCATCATTATAGGAATTTTCTAGTTTAACCTCAGTCACCGAGCAGCCCAGCACATGGTCCAATACGTGGACATTGTAGTTGGTTGTTCCGGCAATGGTTTGCGTTTTTCCGGAAACGCCAATTCAATATTATGTGCGACCTTTCAGCATTGTATGTCCACCAATGAGAAATGATCTATCTCGATACCCAAACGTTGTGGTAGAAGGACAAACCACCTAGTTTGCGCGCACCCTGAACGCAGGTAGCGGATACACAAATCTGCGAGCCAAGTGTAGTTCGCTAGGTGTTCTGTTCTACATCACGCGAGTCGTTGGTTTTCCGCTTTTTGTTTCTTTTCCAAATAACATCAGCCGACAGTACTAATTTATTTGAGTACCCCTTGGTCAACAGTAGCCTGCTTGATGCGACGGGAATCAGAGCATTTGGTCACATTTTCTATGACGATTCGATGCTCCTACCAGGCGTTTCCAATCCTTTTTAAAGGCATCTGCAGCAGCAGTCTATGAAGTATTTCTGGAACTATCCTAAGGATGGTTCAACGCACAGCTCGCCAAACATCCTCATTAGCTCTCGGATGAACCCAATCTTGTTAGCTTGACTTATTCCGAGTACCAGCAAACCAAGTTGAGCATTAAATACTTATGCATAAAGAAACTATATTTTCGACGATTCGGGACACGCTTGGATCGGCATGATCACAGGTAGATCAGGAAACTTAAAAATCAATCTATTACTTAGGTATATACACCCATACACATACATTCACTGTCATACCAAACATGTATTCTTGTACATTTGTGATCACACTATTTTAGGTTAACATGATCATGTCTGTAAATGTGTGCCTCGCATTGTCGAGAATAAAAGTTTATTTATCTATTTATAATGAAGTTTGGGAGGATAGCAAATGATTGACTGAAATGATGTCGCGTTTGACCGCAAGTTAAATGAGGATTTCTGACTCAAACTGAAAGAAAACAGAGTTAGGGATATATCACGAGTCGGGGATCCTGTCATTTTACCCACAGTAAACTATCTAACCAATGTCGAGCACTTGGATTCGCAATATGCACCATCACTGTTCCACGTGTTTCCTTGAAATCCCGTAGTTTCCAATTACTTACTAATGACTAGTAGTCATCAGCGCTGTTTTCCATAACTACAATCTACTTGGCTGCTGGCAACTGCCGTGGCACATAAGACCAACGCTTTCTTCGGCTAGCGTTTGTCATGCATCACAGTGACGAGTGGGCCGCTCTATATAGTACCTAGCGACAGTCGGGGAGCGCACTCAACGACCTAAGTCGAATCCCGTGTGGTTAGATAATTGTACACATTGCAGATGGGTCCAAACATTGCGCTTATACACTTGTCCAAACACTAGCTGACTGAGTTTCCTCACGTCATGTGACTTTCGAACTCCATACCATCCACTGACGCTTGAAGGTCACTCACTATTCGAAGAATACATTCCGGTGAGCAAAGTAGACATATGTATGCGCTCTCTCCTCCACGGCACCATTCCTATCCACGCACGACGATGCCAGCTCCATACTGCTATACGCCATTGTGCCCGCAGCTAGCTATTTACTGCCTTTTGTCATCTATCTGGTGTCATGCTTATGCCGATGATCGCATTGGTGGCTGATGTCCCTAGCTTCTTGCCTCATATACTGCTACTTCAACGGAACTTTTAACTTTTTCTCCCTCGATTGCTCATGTTACAGATGGACAGACAAAGTCAAATGGAAGTGGAGAGGCTCCGTCGAATTTATCGCAAACAGCAAATCAAACAACACAAGGAAGGCCAACCGCCTTATTTATATCTCTACGACCCGAAGGTGTCCAAGGGAGGTCTAAGAAAAGCAAACGTCACACGAACCAGGGGCTCCAAGTCTGATCGCACTGTTGGACGGGCTTTGTCCAGATCTCGTGGGGACGCTCACGTCGATACAGGCGCTTCAGAGCCAGAGTTACACTTCTCTTTGCAGAACACGCCGAAACCGGTGGACGTTGCGCCAGTACGATCCAGATACAAATATCAAGAAGCACGTGGCGATCGATTGAACGCCGAGGAACAGTTTGTGAGTCAACTGCGACTTATTTTAACGATGTATCATACAATTCTCTTCTTCGGATTCTTCTCTTCCATGACTTCGCCACCGTAGCTATGCAAACTAGTCTTCGGACATTGTCCCTATTTGCCATGCCTTTACCTCAACCCCCCCCCCCGTTCGCGGTTTGGCCAATGCCATGCTAGATCCATTCACTGTCTTTGCACTAAGTTATGCGTTGTTTGTATATCACGATCGAATTCAAAAGGACTACGTTCACCTTCAAGTGATCGACGCATCAAGCTGTTGCACTAGTGCACCGCGCATTTGATTTACGCTGTGTTGCAATTGTTGGCTGGAAGATTTTAACGGGCCTAATTTACGTACGCAGCTTTTATATTGTTTAGGGTTGGATGACCAGCAGCGTTACTAGTGACTGCGTCAGTGGTCAGAAACGAATTACTAACCAGCCTCATCAGTGTCAGCAAATAAGCACTTTGTACTTATGCACTGGCGCTTTGCAACCGTAATCATCTTACCTGGGAAGAGTGAGAGGAAGTGAATAGGGGCAAATGTTGTTATGCCTAAGTGTATCCACAGCACATATTCAGGATCAAGGTGCCCACACGTTACCAACTTCATACGGCCATAAATAACTGGTTATCATGTGAGGCCAGGACAGCATCGATGACACAGTTTTCTCGGCTTCCACCGTTGTGCTCCTGAAATAACCCTTCATCACAGATCCCATCACTTTAAACGGACAGAGCTGCATGGATACAATGTCATACTTGCTACTGTTGCTTAGGTCTTTTTCGGTGACATGCACGGAGTGGATAGACAGCCCACGTTATGGTAAGTAGGAATGAGTATGTGACACTTTCACAGTTGCCTTCACACATTTGCGGATGTAAACGCACAGAGTTTAAAAAATGGGCCGTGCTTGTACTTGGCCCACAGAGTTTGTGGTTCACAGGGCATGGCCTTGTCTACTCAACTGGACCACGGCGCACATAATGTTTCGGTTTCCATTCGGGAGTCCAACTGTTTCTCGTATCGTACATAGTGTCTACCGCCCCTGTTTTAATCTTTCGTTCTGCCCGTGCATGTAACTGACCTATCACTCTATCCCCGGTTCACGAGGAACTGGTGGTTGGTGTTGCACACCATCCTTGGAACACTTTGGGTGTTGTACACAGTTATTTTCCGCATTAACGAAACTTTTAGGTAACGGTACCTTCTTGACTGTCAGCTTAACGGTATGCCCAGTCTACTACCTGGCGCTAAAATATGAGCTAGAGTGTCGTTCACTGGCACCACGTGGGTTAGCGTTCTGTACGTGAGCGATCATCATTCTCTACCTGTTGAAAAGCACTGTGCCCCTTATTGGATGACCCACCTTATTTCTCTTTGCCCTTTCAACACTTAGTTCCTTAGTTTCGCTACGCAGGTACCATTGGACGGTGAAAATTTGCGACTCAATGCTCATGTATTTTTCCCCTGCGGTTAACACGTGAAATGGGAACGATGGAACGATAAGTAAAGAGGGACTGAAAATTGGATGAGACTGTCGTGGAACTCAGTCGGCCTTTTCTTTTTCCCTTTGTTTATTTCTTCGCATCCGCTGTATCAATTACTGTGCGATGCAACTTGCCTTCAACGCTGGCGCCACCTACTGTGTTGTGCATCCAATGTAGCCCTCAAAAGGGTTAATTTCGCTTTCGAAAGCTTTTCTACTGATGATCATAGAGTCAGTGGAATTCGTCTCAGCAACAGATCTCATCATTTTCATTACAGTTTGGCTGCTATTCAGAGCTCATGTTCACTTATTTAACAACAATTAAAACCTTTTTTTAGTCATGACAAGGAAATTTTCGTTTTCAGATAACTTCCGACGACTGGAAGAGTGTGAGTGAGTGTCAGAGTGGCAACCATTCGTCCCAGTCCGATTCTGCACATATCCTCAGCAGTTCCCTCGACTCGGCTGAGTCGCTTAACTCGAAAAGACAGCATACACAACCGACCGCAGTGGCTAACCATTTGTTGACGCACCTGCGACGATGCTGTCTGAGTCACGTCCGAAGTAGTATGCCAAAACCGCCGTTGTTCATTGCACCCTCGAGATCCGGCTCCGCAACCTCACAGATACCAGCGTTAGTGTTCTCTGTCAAGCGGTCTCCACGTGCTATCGTTCCATCTAGACCTGAGGACCCCGAGCGGTTGTCTGAGCAACGTGGCAATGTTGGGCGTCACATTGCCACCCCACCAACAGACCCCTCCAAACATCCTTTCCAAGAGGTTGAGACCGCAGTCCGCGGGATAGCTAAGAAGAAATCCCCAACCGAGTTTTGCATTCCATCCATTAAATTTCACTCGGATGACGTGAGTGCTGCTTATTTCTTTGCTTACTTACTGTTGTTTTGGGTCCGTTGGTTTATCTTCCTTCCTTGTAGCAACACCATCTGCGAACTGATACAACCAATTATCTTTGTCTAGTACAGCATGGCGAGTCAGAACTACGCATAACGACCAGCTGCCTCAAGTTTATTGCTAATCATCAGATGCGATTACCTGCCTTGCTCTTGGTGACTAAATGGGAATTTTCCGGTTACCTGCTTGTCGTTGGCTATTTTGTCATGTCACAACATTGTGTCCAGTAGATGTTCTATATTTTTAGATCCCATTCCGCTGTCTTTCACGATCAATTGTTTCCACGCCAACTCTCCACTTCGGTTTTTCATCTCGCGTCAGAGTTGCTAGTTAACTCTTAAATTAACAGCGCTTACATGCGAAAGGTGTGCTTCAGAGGCTAAATGCGATTGGTGCTGTCCTGACCGTTCTGTTCATCGAACCGGTTCCCGATCACTCCACTGCCCTGATTTTCACATCCCTTATTTCCCTTCTATGACTTCGTGATTGACGCAACACATCCCTGAACTGTCTTTTGTCTTCCACATGCAACTGAAGACATGCCATTTCCTCCCAATTCAACAGCCATGCTCGCAACCACTTACCATTCTTCCATCGCGAACTGCTTAGTGTTATTCACCTCTTCCTGACTCTTAGACTCCTCGACTCTTCATCGAGAGTATCTTTATACGATTCTCTTCCTGTAATAAGCCACTGATTTGGCGAGTTTCATTTTGAACATGTTTAACAATCCAATATTGACTTCTTGGCTCATTTATTCCTCTCCGCAAATTAAACTCTGCGACTACAGTGTGTTTTTGCACATTGACTTTGCAGCACCGCAACCCCAGGTACGCAGCACTCATCACATTTGTCACTCAACCGTATTAGTTCACCTCGTGTCCGCATTGTCGGTATGGCCTTAAACCTTTTCACGCGAATTAGTTGGGGCATAAACTTAAACGCACACGTTTCGGTCGATATCGTATCGCACTACATGATCATATCATCGTGCTCATAAATATTCAAAGTTCTTATCGCCGTTAGGTACTGGGAGCTTTGTACGTACTGCAGCAGGGATCTTTACTAACCTGAAACCAATCTACCAATCTCGGTCTCGTGCGTAGACTTTGCGGCCATTATGCAATACTTCTTCTTCACTGTTTTATTTTTCTGGCGCCTTGTTCCCTTGATTGCACCACACAGCGGTTTGCTGACTGCCTGGCTACTAATCCGCACTGCCCATCCCAACCTGATGGTATCTTGTCCGTTTTTGTAAATCGTATCTTTAAAGGAATCTGTTGAACCGGGCAACTTCTCCACCTTACCGCCCATCATGGATCGGAATGACGTGGCTAAGGTATTTAGACATCGTTTGACGTTTGTTTCGCTGTCCATTGTTCTATTTCGCCGATTTTTGGCTTAATTTGCCTGCTTGATTTTTGCCTCGTTTCTGCGTTCTCACGGCTGTTTAATCTCATTTTATTTCATCCGACGTGAATAGTTTTCTTGGGACTTGCCAATGCAGTGACGCCGCTTCAAACACCTGCCTTAGGAGACTTCCTAAAGTGTGTGCAAGTTTTGTGACGACGCTCCATTTGAACCGTGATCATACAGTAACTAGTAGTTGATATAGCTCGTTACGTACCCCTTCTAAAGCCGTCCCTCCATACCGACCACAGATTCCACATCAGCCATGTGTTCACAATATATCCACCATATGTTTCACGCTATATGTTACACCTTCAGCCTCTAAGTGTTCCCACAACTCTTAGTTACTTTCAGTACTGTTTCCCCATCCGTTACTAGCTAGTAATACTAATAGGAGTTTATTATGTTTCTTTGGGGAAGCCTCGTCAAGTTGCCAATCCACATCCGGAAATGCAGTTTTTGAATTTTTACTGGTTGTCTGAATACGTCTAGCTGAGGTGAACGTACACCAAAAACTCTATCCACCTTTGACACCTATACCTACAAACTGGACAGGTTGCATCGCAACCTCCCTCTGATCTGTGTCTTGACTGAGTATTGCCCCTGTCTGATATATATATATATATATATATATATATATATATATATATATATATGATTGGCGGCATCCGGTTTCGGATTTCCTTGGTACTGTGACCAGTCACAGGACGCCTGCAGTGGGACATGGGTGGCTTGCTCTGCAACACCCACAGCTCCAACTACACACCCCATGTCCAGTGTAAACCCGAAGGAATAAGACTGGGAGGCGTGTGGATGGGAGCCACGTTTCATCAACGGAGCCGGCCCACACTCCTTCACAGGCAACCACAAACACGCTGTATTTGGAAATCAAGCGCACACAAGTCGGTGGCTAAACCGTAGTCCAGTCATGGAACCACTTTTCGAGCCTAGGACGGTCACAAGGACTGTGCACCCAGTCCCCTCCAGGTAGGCACCCTGTCAACATGCACATCAAGCGCAGCCACACCGGGGATATCAAGCAACAGCCAATCGTTTGAAACGACAATATCCAATAAAATAAGTCGTATAATGCATACAGATATGGTGACATAACTATTCACTAAATGAGCATATGAAATAAATTAGTTACGAACAAATCCGCGATAAATTCAAGACGTCAGATGATATATTTTAAGAAAATGCCACAAGCATGCAAATGTTATCGAAGCTATGTAAAGTAATTTAAGGGACGTGTGCAAGTTTATAGATAGTTCAGCTAGACATAAATATGAGATAAAAAAGCATTAGGGCAATACAGCAACCCATCACCTGAGACCAAAAGACTCAGCATGTAAGCACGCGGTTAGTAAATCGAATGCAGCCTACCTACAAACGCTGCGCTGGTTCTGCCTGCGTTCTCAGCAGGACTCGTCGTCTTTTCGGCGTTGGCCCCAAGTGGCCTCGCTCATGGTTCACTAGACTTGCCTGACTCAGGTATTCGCTACCGCGTGTGCTACAACCGTGCGCTGGATGTTGATAGAGTACAATCCATCAATGCCTGCCGCTTCCGCACTTACCGCTTCTTCTCATACACTTCCACAACTGTGTTCGTGATCAGATCGCGTATGCACGCCGATCAACCGCCCTCGATTCCCAACACCTGCAATCAAGATTAGAACGTGTGAGGTTCACTTTGATCATGTTCTGGTAACGAATCTTCGGTTTCCCCACATGCCGCTTACCAATACTCAGCTGACCATATAAGAGTTGTTTCGGTATCCGCGTTGAATCCATACGGCTCACATGACCGAGCCACCTCAGGTGTCTCAGCAGAAGTATGCAGTTCACTTCGGCGCAACACTTTCGTGTCCGCAACTGTCGCCCCTTCGATGTGCAGAATCCGTCGCAAGCACTGTTGTTGGAACCGCTCGAGATATCGCACATCCCGCCTGCACATCGTCCACGTTTCGCTGTCGTATAGAAGAACGGACGGCACTATATATTTGTAGACCATCAGCTTCGTGCCAACGGTGAGATGGTGGTTGTCCCACACTCCGTACTCTAGCTTCCCGAATGCTGCCGCTGTCATCGTTACGCGAAGCTCATTGTGTAACTGCTGGTCAGTCGACATCACACTCCCAAGGTAGCAGAAACGGGAGATGCTTTCCAATACGTCATCACGAATGCTGGTTCGCGGCACTATTGAAGATTGCACCTCCGGTGAAGGCTGAAAGAGACAGACAGTTTTGCTTGTGTAGATGGTGAGCACGAATTTGGCTGCTGTCGAAGCCAGAGCACTAGTCATGTGCTGCAACTCATCCGCGCTGTGTGCAAACAACGCATAGTCATCAGCGACGGGAAGATACGGATAGTTGTCTCACAGACTAGAGTTCTCGCACCGAAATGACGGTGATGTTCAGCAACCCACCATTAATGCGGTGCTCCACGCGAACACCGTAAGCACAAGCGGCATGAAAAGCACAAGACATCATTGCATGAAGATATATATTAAACAGGGCAGGAGCTACGACACAGTCTTGCTTCACACCGGAGACAACTGCAAAGTCATCCGAGGTCTCTCCACTCAGCTGCACCCTCGCCCGCATACCACTGTGCAGACATTCAATTAAACTTACAAACTTACTCGGGCGACCAAACCTACCCAACAGCAGCCACAATGCCTCATGGTTCATCGTATCAAATGACTTGGTGAAATCAACAAAAAGCGAGTACAACGACTGGCGTCGTTCTCTGCACTTCTGCTGCAACTGACGAGACGCAAACACCATATCTGCGATCCGAACGGAATCCACACTGCTCTTCCGCCACGTTAGGTTCCACAACCTGACTGACGAGATGGTTGAGCAGGATTCGGGCAATCACGTTGGCAACACAACTCAGCAAGTTGATGCCGCGATAATTCGTGCAACATTGCTTGCTCCGTTTGCCTTTGTACATTGGCAGCACAAGGACATCCTTCAGCTCAGGAGGCACCTCCTCCTCAATCCACACGTGACGAAGATGATTATATAAACAAATTCGAATAAGTTCTAAGTCGTGAAGTAAAATTTTCCCGAACGATTGGGGAAAAGGACCAAACAGAGAGGGCTGAAAATCAGTTTATTAAGAGCTTGCAAGAGCTTCGGAATAGTGGACGTATATCATATACTCTTTATGATTTCCTTAAGCCGAGTGGCACGAATGTCCCGAGGCTTTATGAGTTACCGAAAATTCCTGAGACAGATGTCCAGCTTTGTCCGATTTTATCAACGGTTAATTCACCCTACCATGCCGTTGCCCAATGGCTTGTGGAAATTCCAAAACCCGTAAGACAGCGACGTATACACTACAGCCTTCGTGACACCTTTCATTTCATCGAAAGCCTCAAACACCGCAACATCGGTAAGTAAGTAATGTTTTCCCTGAATGCTGTATCGCTTTTCACCAACGTGCCACTTTTCGAGACAATTGATTACCTTTGCTCCTACATAAAAGAAACAAACAAACATGTGCATACCGTTGCATGATTTGAAAAACCTCCTTTTGCGTCGCACTTGGAACGTACTGTTCCTAGTGTGGCTATGGGATCGCCATTGGGTCCGTTGTTGGCTGATGTCTTCCTGGCGAAATTAGAGAATACTAAGTTACATACGGAGATCACGACTTTTGAATGTTGGCTGCAAAATATGGACGACATATTTGTCGTATCCGACCAGTCTGTTGACCTTGACGCTGTTATTGACCATTTTAATTGGGCCCACTCAGCATTGCAGTTTACCTACAAGAAAGAATTGGACGATCAGTTGCCGTTTCTTGATCTCCTGTTAACAAGAAGGGCAGACGGCGCGATCCAACGGCAGGTCTACAGGAATAAAACCTGGAGCGCCCAGTATGCGAACTTCCACAGTTTCGTTCCGTTGAGATACAAGCGAACCCTAATTCGCTGTCTAACCACAAGGACCCGCATGAGCTGTTCCGTTGACACGTCGGATAATGAGTTGACGTTCATTCAAAATTTCCTACGCGAAAACCGATATCCTGACCGTTTCCTTCTTAGGAACATGCAAGTCAAGCCCGACGTATTGCAAGTTCGGACATCAGAGAGAAAAATACTTTTCATACGACTACTTTTCAAGGAGGACGCCGTGGCTGCGCGTGTAACTAGAAGTCAACTGTCAAGTCAACTTTACCAGCAGCCAAGCTTAGGTAGACCTTTTCAACGGAACCACTCATTCGTATTCACAACAAAGACAAGTTGTCGACGCTGACCGCTTCTGTGGTCTTTTATCAGTTCGAGTGCGCCTGTGGCGCCACTTACATCGGTCGAACGGCGCGGCAACTGTCGAAGCGCATTAAGGAGCACCTACCACGCTTGTTCCATCGAGGCGGTACCGGGCTATAACTAGCTCTGTTATGGCTCATCTTGTTGATAGTGGGCATGAGCTTGACCCAATCCGTGCATTTCGTATACTATACAGGGTCCCTCCGTTTCAGTCGAAAGGTCTGTGCATCCGCACCCTTGCGACTACAAAGACGGTCACTATTCGGTTGTATCAACCGTTTTTGTGTGCACAAAAGAAGCTCCTCGAAGCTATTAAGCTACCTTGACCAGACAAAACGGATCCTGAGGGCAGCTATAATTGTTCAGCTACACCATTGTCCTAGTTTGTCGTTTGTTGCTGGTTCATGCTCCTGGTCGGCACGTGATCGAATCTCAGTTGAACTGATCGCATCCACTTTTACTCCCATTGCTATTTCACCCATATGATTGTGCGGGTCCGAGGATGGATCACAACCTGTATGGTCTTAGATTGAACCTTGAAAACCATAACGAGCTGTCGGTCTGCATCTTTCTTGTTACCACTTCTTTCTTCTCTTAATCCTCAGTGCTGACTTTTTCCGTTGCATATTGGGCTTCTGCCGGTCGCATAAGCCTTATCCGATTCACAAGCTGCGGTTGTTAGATGTAGATTGGCAGACAGCGTTCGCGCTTCTCCCTGGAACGGTTGTCATCGCTGCTTCTACTTATCTTCTTGTTCTTTGGATGCGAGAAGTGTACTCATGTTTGCGTTTCTCTGCACCACCAGAACAACTTTTGCTTGCAGCTCGCGCCGCTTTCTTGCCGCGTCATGATGATCCCGTTCGTTTGGTTACTTATTGTCCCAAGGACATCCGTTAAACATGTGCATTCGTGCAGCATCACACGGTATATCGGTTTTGCGTTTCTTGTACTCGCTTCTCCTTCTCTTACCATAGTCCCCTTGCGTGGTAAAATTCAAATACTTGGGCCTGTCACGTCACGAGGACCCACACTGGATGAGCAAAGATCACGCTGAAAGCTCATCGCATCGCACCATCTCACAACGATCCATTGGTGAAGACCGTTCATCCGAACGTTTGATTACTGTTACACAGCAACCAAGTGGAGCAGGTTCCATCACGGTGTTTCGCGGATTTCTCCGACCAGGAGGTAATTCATTTACCACATTTAATCGAATTTCCGAGTTTTGTTACATTGTTTTTCTTGGTATGGAGTTTATCCATCGTACTTTACTGGGTCTCATGTAGCTTTTCAACTTTCCATTAACGCTTCACCTCGGTTGTGTCCGGCTTCGATTTTTGCTTGTGGACATGACTGTATTTCCGCAAACTGTACAAGATAACCAGCAAGACGACACTTTTATCCAGCGTTGGCAGATGTCGTCACCTAGTGCAGTAAAATATCACTATAGCGAATGCCATTCCACGGGATTTTCAGATCAGTGACAGTTTTAAGACCTCTTCCATTTTATGTATAAAACAAACGATATCTCTCACGATAGTGCAAGGCACAGTCCAATAGGAGTAATCAGCTCAGTCTACCATTACTTGGTGTACTGACTTCTTTCAGTATAACAATATTTCATAACGAACTAGTCTCTTATCTCGCCAGAGTGTTGTTTTATTAGTATCTCACCACACTCATCAAGCAATCCACGGCGGCCATCCTGCATTTTCCCCATTGCTATAAGTTACATGTAGCGCACATAAGTCTCCCGCGTACGGTTCGTGCGAAACACTTGTTTATATTTCCACTTATGGCGCCAACTCCTTGGACCGCCATGCGGCACCCATTATTTAGATTCTTCACCCACTACACTGCATCTATCTTCACTAACCGTTCATATACGTGAACCGTTTAACCAGATTGGTCTAAGCGCCGGATTGAACACCTTGAAGAGTAATTCTACCGTCACAGTATGCCATGAACGGATCTCCTTAACAAAACTGGGGTGCTGGTATACCTGCTGTCACCGTCGCCGCGGTCCGATCTGATCTGGTTCTGCTGAAGCGTAACAAGTCGCTCAGCCCAGAGGACCTCTCACCATCTATACTGTAGGCCGGTGGTGACTCACAAGTGACCGCCTTAACTTCTCTCTCCGTTACTATTTTGCGCATTCCTGTCTCTAAATAGTTCCGATGAACTTCCTATGGAAATCACTGTGCTATCAGTATGGTCCCAGTTACCTGTATGCTTGTGTGCGTCATACTGCGATGGCTTCCTGATCCTCGTGAGGACCAGATTGGAGTACTTCTCAGCTGAATATACTTTAACCATATGTATAGCCTTAGCCAGCTGCTTCAGTCTCTGCGTACGTGCAAATGGTCTGTCACGGTAATCTTCCCTCACTGCATTTGATCCGATTGATTGCGCCCTTCTATGACGATGCTTAACATTTAATCATATCCTAAGGATAGTTTCTTCCAACCTCCATGAGAAGTCTGTCCAGCACTCTACCAGTATGTGGTGCATTTGTCAATGCGTCTGGCTTTGATGAAGCTTCATGGCGGTTTTTCATTCCCCAAATCCATTATTCGCCATCCTTACTTGATCGGGCGGTTCGGCAAGTGAAACTGTGCTTCTGGTGGCCAACCCTGTCCTCTAATAGCATCGGCGCACATGCCACTAATGGATGAGCATGCGTGCCGTGCCGGTCATCCGTAAAGTGATGATTACTAATTGCATAGCCATGGATTAGGGAACTGCACACTGACTATGAGCCTTAATAGATCGATGAGGTCGTTTGGCGCCTTTCCAGATGCACAGTGGCTGTTTGGTTGAAACGAATCAATCAACTGTACTTTCTCCTCCTAGGTGCTACGCTATGGAGCACCAGAGCGAGGAATCGGTCGATGAGACTGATGGGTAGCTGATACACTCAGGGCGATGAGTAGACTGTTATATGAAACCTATTGCCGTGCATGTCTTCATAATTTGTTCAATCCTCTAACTCCACCGTATGCCTGGATGTTACTCCTCCAGCGCATATGACGTCCGGCATAGATTTATGCTGACGGAACGGAACAATACACCCAATGTTCTCTCCCCGTCGATACTGAGAGGGGACACAACCCACTGATTTCCCCATAGATATCATAATTTTCGCAACTTGTTTATACTGGCGTTTTTTTGATCAACATCTGTACTTATAGAAAGATCCTCAGTCACCTTACTAACCTTGATGCCATTGTATCTTCTGGTTTCCCTCTTCACCACGTCAAGTCCATGAAGTTCGAACTGCGTTCAGCAGATTAACTAATGGCTTGTTTACATCTTATATCAAAACTAATATCTATTCATTTGCGCTGCTTGCTGTTGTCATCCTATTCGGTCTCAGCATCATTTTTGATTGAACTCAATCGTGTCCGTTTGGGAGACATCGGCTGCCACTAATAGGGACTTCAGCAAGTGTTTTGTTACGTGACCTTTAACCCACTTCTGGTGGTTGCTCGTCAGTTTACCGGAACCTCTGCGTTATGGTCGCCTAAACGGAAGAAGTTGCATCAGGACTACTTTGCCGATTGCTTTCATCATTATCGCTGCATGTTATGCCGAGAGTTCCATCAGATGAAGATTCGGTGTTCCGAGTCTGATACTCTCCTAAATAACCAGATACAGTTGACTGCGCGTATCCGCTCACGCTTTTTCCTACTGGTTCCGGGGCAGTTTAACAGCATTGGTGCAGTTTCTTTTAAATTTTGAGCCCCTATTGAAGCTTCGAGACAGTAGGTTGTCCTTCAATAGTTTGTCGAATTCCACCGTATGCATTAGCTGTTTATCCACTGCACGTCGCATGCGTCGAGGAACCGCATGCTTTTGGGAATCCCAGAACTCTTGTTTTTCAGTGGCATGTCTTCTAATGTCACGCTGGACCGTTTCCGAATTCTCCGTTTGAGCCTGGTCAGGTTAGTCACTCAACCTGTATCAGTCTATCTCCTTCTCTCGTAAGTCGCTTAGCTGCGCTTTGATGTAGAAAAATATATATAAAAGCAGGTTGTCAAACTAAGTTACTCTGTGGTGCATTGCTAGTGATTAGTATATGTGGAGACGAGGAGGTGCGAAGAATTCAAGGAAATCGTGATGCGGTAATCTTGCTCCACTGATGCATTTTGAATGAAGGGGCGCAGCGGAACTGAGAGTCGGAATTGTACCACGAAGGAAATGCGCAAATGGGCTCGAGTTTCTATGTTCGAACTGTCCTAATATCTAGCGGTGCGCTCTCTGGAACAAAGCTTGTCTTCACCTCGTTGCTTTCCCAACATTTCTTGTCGTGAACAATCAGAGAGTAACCATGCGGGAATGAGGACGTGAAGAATACGCTGTTGGATTTCGAAGGAGTCGCGTTGGCCGTTAGAATACGGCTGCAATGAACGAAGCTGGTTGCCTGGGAGCGGACCCGTTCTTCTTCGCCGTCCACTTCATTCAATTACTGGACCGAGCACTGCTTAATTTGGATGACGCGTCAAGACAGTATCTGTCCATGGAGCAATTTATGGACTGTCTACCCCTGTTGATGACCGATCGCTTCTGGCTTGTAAACGCCACCCAGAGAATGGACGTTATGGAGCTCGCTCGAGTGGTAAGGGAGTTTACACATGATTATGTCGCTGCATCGAGAGCGGAAGACTATAAAGAAGAGGAGCGATTAGCCAGAGCGTTTTACGCAAGACATCGGGGCCCTTTGAATTCCTTGTCAGCAAACACGGCCATGGGAACGATGCTTCTTTTGTGGGAAACTGCGACACTGGAATCGGTAATGTCCATCAAGGCGAATTACCCCCTATGTACCAAATGATAGCTATAAACCGTATTGCTTTTCTTTTTGAAAGTGCATACTTTGGACGCTAAACATATTTGCGGTTGAAGCGATGGTAAAGGTGATTGGCATAAAAGAGAGGCGTTGGATTGATACAGGAGCCGCGGTTTCATTAATCAATCACAGAGTTGGAATGAAATCTTATTTTATAGTACTTATTAGTAGCAGGATTTTAGTTGTAAATCTGATAAGGCTCCATGGTGGTGAAAGCGGTCGGTCGTTACGATACACGCATAGATGGTATGGTGATGTGATTACTATGCTTGGTCGAAAATTCAACCATCTCTTTGTCGTGTTTCCGGACTCAAAACAGACCATTCTGGGTACAGGTCAGCGAGGCCATCGTCGACCTAAAACGAGGAAGCCTGACTACGAAATACTGGGCTATACCAATTTCTGGCAGAACACACACGGGTGTGCTCGGTCGTGGCCGTTTTGCACACAATTCCTGCCCCGCAATCGCTCGTAGTCAAATAGGACATTCTATTCACAGACGATCGTAGCCATATCGGCCGCATGGACCCAGAAGCATACCTGGCGGCTGAGATTTGAGGGCAGATGCAGATGTTGAATACAGATGTAATCGAATATGCTCACAGCTATTGTAACTCCTCATTCGTTTTGATGCAGAAGTCTAACGGGAAGTGCCGTTTTTGCGTGGACTTGGGAAAGCTGAACGAAATTTCGCTGTGACGTTTCGTCCTGGTGCCATCAGTCGTAGTCATTTTCGACGGAATGCAGAAGTCAAAAATATTCACGGTACTAAACCTGAGATCTGGTTACTGACAGCTGGTGATAAAACAAGAAGACCGGAAGAAGACAGCGTTTACATTCGGCGATAAGCAGTACCAATTTAACAGGATGCAGTTTGGATTGTCTGGGGTTCCATTCACCTTTTGGTGTTTTATGCTGCTCCTGCTGGATCGATTAGAGAATGTGGCCGTGTATGGAGATGACATCGTACTATATGAAGACAGAGCGATACGCTCCCGGATACGCAGTACACAGATTAGTTTCAAATGGTCTGGCATAAAAAATGTGAACGGTATTCCATTCGGAACATTGTTCAGTGATTTCAACTCAGCAGCCCAGCACAGCTCACAAGTCCTAAGGGTCGCCATACTCTGACGGTAAGCATGGAACGCAATCGATGTCATTGGAGATTGATGATTTTCTATGACTACGAATATGATTTAAAGTAGGACCAGAGTGTTGAGTGATCGCATGCTGCGTTTGCTGATGATAGGCCTTCAAGAACCATCGTATTTGAGTGGTTGGCAGAATTCAAGCTTGGCAGACGCTCGCTGTATTATGAGGCACAGTTCGGTCGGCC